ATGTGATAAATGTGATAAAATACACTTGAATTCTAGGAACTGAGTTATTTCAATTCTCTAAATGAAGTATACCATATTTTTATTCCTTTAATACTGCCAAAAACAATCGAGAATTGGATTGTGCCAATGTAGCACAAAAATATGCTTACATGCACTTTTTGCCAGGTGTTCCAGTAGCCGCTCAGGCCTAAACTCCCTTGGAACGGCCCCGCAAATTTTTCAGGTTCTTGATATGATAGATAAGTTTTTGGATATAAAAAAATATATTTCTAATGCTCTATGTGGCTTATCATATCAAATAATTCACATTACAATTCATGCTAGAGCTACATGGAATGTAATATAATGAAAACACAGTGGCCAAAGCAACATTACAATTCATGCTAGAGCTACATGGAATGTAATATAATGAAAACACAGTGGCCAAAGCAATCTATCATCCAGAGTTCTGTATTTTATCGCTTAGAAGAAATTATATAAAATAGCAAAATCTTGCCTCTTTGATATCATATATATAACTAGCTCTACACTTTATGTGTATTGAGCACTCTTTAATGGGATCAGCCACTTCCTCATACGATTAAAATAGATTGATTTAATATTTGGAAATTAAGAAACTACCTTTGCAATCTTAAATGGTTCTTATGTCAAGGCTTATAAACAAAGAATTTCAATCTGACATGTTATTTTAAATATTCTAAGGGGTTTTACTGTTTTGCGCATTCAATGATCATAACCGAGACAACGAGACAAAGATGAAGGTCATCAGATCTAAAATAGCATGAATTCATTAGCCCGGAGGTTGGACTCCCATATGGAGGGTTGGCGACGATCGTCCCATATATATTTTTAGGGGTAAAATTCAGGGTTCTGGTTTATTTTCGGGTTAACATATATATTTCATTTGCTCCTGTTTATGACATTGAAAGGTCAGAGAATTCAGGACAATGCTTTTACAACCTAAACCTTAGGTTGAATGTATTCCATGTTGAGGTCACTAGAAAATATTGTGATTCTCGTAAGCTCAGTGGTATATCTTTTAGGTTTTTTTTAATTTCCGACGAAATAGACGGATAGCGAATCTCACTTCCATGTCAGTGTTTACATTCAAGATCTGAATGTTGCAGCTGATTGGTCCGTTTATATTAGAGCGATATTATTGGTTGAAAATCAAAACCGGTTTTCAATCAGATACTCGACGAAAGATAAGTTGTCAGAATCAAATGTAAAATGTTATGGGTCACTGATCTCCGTCGTGTATCAGAATTCTCACAGAATGTAAACTAAGCAAAATCCCCAGAAGATGTCGTTAAAGCAAGACTTTACGAATCTGCAAAGTGTGTAGCTGCAGCCTCTCGAATTTGTAGACAGGAGACTTGCAGTTCATCTGGAGAAAAGATCGTTTTTAGTGAAAATATCTGCTTTTGAATTTATAGCGAGCAGCTACATGTCTCACCTTCACTCGGAAGTTAAAAACTCGAAAGTCTAAACCTTTTAGGACAAAGAATTATCTAATGTGAAAGAACTTTATCGTAGAATCTTCGTCGAGTATCTGATTGAAAACCGGTTTTGATTTTCAACCAATAATATCGCTCTAATATCAACTTCCGCCTTCGGCTAGTCCGACTAACAAGAAATACTTCGCACAATTTTGCGAACACTCCAAATAGACACAGCCTTTCCCTCGTACTTCGATTGACCATGTGATAGAAATAGAAAAGCATGACGTGTACATGTGACTTTTGTGTCACATGATATATTTATG